GTTTTAGTTGAGAGATGTAAATAATGTATACAGACTTGTATGTGATGGGATTGGAAAAAATATTTAAATTCTAGGTTTTTTTTAAAAGAAGATACTGAATGTTTATTACACAAATAAATAAATAGTTATGTTTGGCCATGACTTTGTGTTAATGTTTATTTTTGCTATCGATATTCCCCTGCTGAACACATTCTTACAGAAATATTGAAGGTATTTGGAATATGTTGACATTTAAAATTTGTTAGGCATTATTTTTTATGTTTACAACAACCCTCGAAATTTCTAGTATCTTAGTCTTACAAATTAGGAAACTAAAGCTCAGAAATTGTATAAGTCACTAACTAGGGTTTTAAAACCCAAATACTCACTGACCTTGAAGCCAACACTTTTGTTTGCTTTCTTTAAATACACAGTAGTCTCGTCTTGGATTTTCCATTTAATATTTTCAGACTGCAATTAACCGTGGGTAACCAGAAAGAATTAGTGAGTTGTAAATTGCAACTGTTTTGAGTAGAATGATGAAATCATGTGCCATCCTGCTTCATCCTACCCCGTCCTGCCCAGGATGTGAATCATCATTGTCCAGCGTATCCATTCTGTTTCATTCCAGTTCATTAGTTGATTAGCTCGGTTATCAAATCAACTATGGAGGTATGGAGTGCTTGTGTTCAAGTAATCCTTACTTTGCTTAATAATGGCCCCAAAGCACAAGAGTAGTGATGCTTGGCAGTTCAGGAATGTCAAAGAGAAGCCGTAAAGTGTATGTATGAATAGGAAAAATCATAGTATATGTAAGGTTATATATAATTTGAGGTTTCAGGCATCGACAGAGGATTTTGCAACATATCCCCCCTGTGAATAAGGTAGGACTGCTGAACTATTACCATGAGAACAGTTAGCAAAATATTTTTACCTTCCTGTCAAGCTAAGATATCATCAAATTTTGTCTTCATTATAGACCATTAAAGAATGAACACTGTGCCCTGGCCTGTGGGTCGGTTGGAGTGTCATCCAGTATACTGGAATATTGCAGGTTCTATCCCTGGCTGGTTCCCCCCTCCCCCCCTTTCTCTCTCTCTTTCCTTCTCTATAATCTGTTTTAAAAAGAAAAAAGAATGAACAGTATTAGAGAATCTTCATTTTACCCCGATTTCTAAGTTCCAAAAGGAAATGTGTACTTTAGAGTATTTTCCGAGTATCATTATTTTAGAGGTATTTATTTTTAGAGGCATTGTGTTTGGGCTGTCAGGTTGAAAATATTTTGATGGTAATAGCCACAGATGCCTAATGTCACTAATTGGTATTTGAACAAAAGCCTGGAAGTAGAAATGTTAGTTCACACTGATGTGGACTGTCTCCAGGTTTTTTGTTTTGTCTCCAGGTTTTAATAAAAACAACTTGTTATTCTGCACATATAATATGTACAAAACTTTTTTGTATAAAAAAATACTTAAAAAATTTACTACATTTTGATAGGTTCGTCTTTCGTAGTAAATTTAAATATTGTTAAATATTTTAAACAATATTGTTAAATAATATTGTCTGGAATAATGCATTTTGATAACACAAAGTTCTAAATTATTCCTTTAAGGCTTAACCACATTTAATGCTTTACACTCTTGTTTTAAACTGCATAATGAATACAGTGTCACATTTTTTTTTTATTACCTAGAAATTAACTTTACAAGCATGCAGTAAAATATAGCTTCCTTTCCTGAGGAGCTGTGTAGGGCTGATGGCTGGCTCCTTCAGGGCCCTGCTGGTGTTATTTTGACATCGAACTGGAAGCTTTAACTCTCCACCCTTACTTTTATGATGGCTTCTACATTCTTCTGTTTTCTAGTCAGTAATGAGGGGAGGTTGCAGGAGAAATTTATAACCAAGCTCATTAAGTTGAGAGACATTATTTTAAAAAGTTGGGTTGGTATACACAAATGTGTAACTACTTAATGGCCCATTATTTTTTCTGCCTTTGTTTTCATTTTTTGAGTTGGTTTAGAGTTTTCTTGATAAACTTGTTTATCATCAGTCAGGACCCTATCTCATTGAGCAGCATTTCCACAGGAGAAAAGGAATTCCCAAATTGAAGGACTAGTAAAATTTCTGGCAAGAAATTGTTATGGTGGTAGCATGCTCACAACTGGCCGGATGCTCCAATCCCTTGTCATATATATATATATTGATTTCTGAGAGGAATGGTGAAGGAGAGAGAGAAACAACGATGAGAAAGAATCATTGATTGGCTGCCTCCTGCACACCCCTATTGGGGATCGAACCCAGAACCTGGTCATGTGCCCTTGACCAGAATCGAACTGGGGACTCTTAAGTCCTCAGGCCAACGGTCTATCCACCCAGGGAAACTGGCTAGGGCCAATCCCGTGTCTTCTATCTGCAATTCCAAAATCTGAAAAGCTCAGAAAACAAAGTATTTTATTGGTTCAGGGCAAACTTAACCTGATCTTAAGTGTCACTGCCAAATATTAGTGTATTTAATACTTATGCCGGTGGTTTAGGTAGAGTGACATAATGTGTATAGTATATGACTTTCTTTTCTAAAGTCAAAAATTTTGAATTGTGAAACAGATCTGGCTACATTGCTTTCAGATAAGGGGTTGTGGACAAAAATCAGGAAGGCACTTTTAAAAGTGCGCTTTGCGTCGGCCTGTGGACTGAAGGGTCCCAGGTTCGATTCTGGTCAAGGGCATGTACCTTGGTTGCGGGCACATCCCCAGTGGGGGGTGTGCAGGAGGCAGCTGATCAATGTTTCTTTCTCATTGATGTTTCTGACTCTCAATCCCTCTCCCTCCCTCTCTGTAAAAAAAAAAAAAAAAAAAATCGATAAAATATATTAAAAAAATAAAAAGTGCGCTCTGGTCTCTTCCTTGAATTATCCACAAATTATTTGGAAAATTATGCTGAACTTGGTGCCAAGAGAGCTAGGTTCTCTGTTTTCCCCACTTACTTTGTATTTTTGAGGTACACTCTCAAGCTTGGGAGCTCAAGTTCTCACAGCCAGAAGCTGGCAGAGTTGGATTTGAAAGCAGTCTTTAATTTTTCCGTGCTTAAACTTACACTTCTTTTGTGTATGTATGTGTGTTTTGTGTGTGTAGAAACCACATTGGGGACTCCTACTCCTCAACCCCAAACATCTTTAATGAATCTATATGGACTTCAGTTCCACTTTCCTCCTGTTTGAAGGTCTCCTTACCCTGCCTTACCCCTTTCTCAGTAGCTGCCAGTACCCTTATCATTTCATGGGTTTCCCCCCAAGCTTAGGTGTGAAATAAAACACCTAGTAGCTTTCCTAGCTTCATTGCCATCCTTGATGACAAGCATTCAGGCCTTCTTCATGTCAAGGATCCTACTGCTAATCACTATGGGATAAACAAAAATAATGCACATAAAGTAGTACTAGTAGCATAACAAAATAATAGAGGGAAATTACATAGAATAATTTTTGCTGTTTTTATTCTAGAGTTCCCCATGAGATCACATCTTGATTTCTGCCCTTTTATTTCTGAGAATGATTCACTGTTTTACCCATCTTCTTCTGAACTCCACCTTTAGATGCATTTAAAATGTGATGATAGTTGCAAAGTAAAAAAGAATTACAGGGCCGTTTGTTTTTGTAGATAAATTGAACTCAGTAACTTCTAGACTGAGTAGTGTTTAGTTTACAATTTTTTTTAACCATAATTAAAAATTGAGTTCCTCTGGGCATTTTTTTACTCTGTATTTGCCTCCAGCTAGCTGAGTGTTCTAGCAGAGTACACGGCACATAAGTACTCTGTGTCGAATTAAAAAAATCAATACGTTTATTTGTTAACTACATGCCAGGTATAAGGGCATGGAAAGTTATATAAGTTCTAGTCATGCTGAAATATACCCATTGTGTTAACTTCTGCATAGCATTGTAGAGGTGAAAAATGTTTTCCTTACTCCCTTCTAGGTTCTTTAGCTGGTCTAATAAAGTAAATTGACATAAGACAGATTAATAGGAGAAAACCAAATTTTATTTCACAAATTTTGTTTTACAGCTGCCCCATAAAAATAAACTCAAAGTGAGCAAAGTAAGAAGCTTTTATATCTCTTAGACGAATAAACAATAAATTTGGGAAGACCTGACAAGGCAAATGACTTGGGCTTGTATTAGTACATTGGTGAAGAAGTAACAAGGTTCGTTAATACAGCCTGCTCTGCTCTCAATTCCCACCCCAGTTCCACTTGCTGACTTTGAACAACAGCCTCTCAGTGCCTATTTCCTACTGACAAATGGGGTTAATTGTAAAATCTTCAGCACTGGATTACTCTTAATTCATGAAAAGAGCTGGAAACTGCTTGGCTGGGTTGCCCAGCAGAACTTAGCCTGATGCTGCTCCAGGCTGAGAACATAGGCCAATGTCTGACTTTTCTATCACACATTGCTCCAGCCCGACAAGTTCAAAGGTTCAAGTCCAATCAATTCCGTTCAGACGCTTTATCTCTACCAGCCCAAGCCCAGCCCAGGTTGACAGCAGGCAACACCCTCTGCCCTTGGGCGCCCTCCCGCGCTCCCGGGTCTGGGGCGTTTGCCAGTGGTTTCCACCGCTCAGGAAGCAGCCACTCCCCGACCCTCCCCCAGCGGCGTCCCCGGAAGCGGCGCGCCTGCGTCATCGCGCGCGCGGCCCCGCCCTCTGCTCTCGCGGGATCCTCCTTGTGGGTTGCACCCGGCGGCCCGGGACGCGGCGGGCGAACGCCGAGGGGCCCGATCTGACGACGTTCGGAGCTGCGGCGGGGAGGGGAGGGGCGTGGCCTCCCCTCTGGGCGGGCGGCCCCGCCGCTGGTCCGCCTCCGCCGCTGCCGCCTCCGCGCGCCAAAATCAAATCGGAGACCCGCCGGCGGGAGACTCGGTGACGAGTCCAGCCAGCAGCGCGGTGGCGGCGGCGGCGGCGGCGGCGCGAGCACCTGTGTCCCCTTCCCGGCCGCCTGCCCGACGCGCCCGGGCGTCCCCCTGCCGAGGCATGGCCACTCCCCCCAAGAGGAGCTGTCCGTCTCCCGCGACCAGCTCCGAGGGAACCCGCATCAAGAAAATTTCCATCGAAGGGAACATCGGTAAGGAGCCCCGCGCAGTGCTGGGTGCACGGAAGGGGGGTCCCGGCGGCGGCGGCGGCGGCGGCGGCGGCGGCGGCGGTGGCGCGGCGCGCGTTTGCTGCGTCTCTTCTGCTCCTCAGCGAGGCCCTCCCTCCCCGGCTGGCGGGGGAGCTGCCCCTGGAATTCCCCTCCGACCGCAGCCTCCCCCCTGCCCTCCCGGCCTCCCCCGTGCCCTCCCGGCCTCCCCCGTGCCCACCCCGCCTCCTCCCTGCCCCAACGACGGCGGGGGTGGCCTCCCGGGCATCTGGCAGCGCTTTGGGCCGGTTTCATCCTCTTCTACTTCTTCTCTGTTTCCCTCCACAGGAAACCTGTGCCTGACATTTCCTGTTTTGAGATACATTTTTTTTTTTTGTCTCCAAGTTATGTACTAGTCATTCATGCATACAGTGAATGTTTTTAAATTATTACCCCATTCAAAGAACTTGCACTTTGTTTTGTTTCTTTAAATTGTTGGGACCCCACAAAGGGAAGGATTTTGCTTTGTGTGTGTGTGTGTGTGTGTGTGTGTGTGTGTGTGTGTGTGTGTGTTCTTCTGGTGCAATTTACATACGTTAAATTATCCCCTTCAGGTGAACTCTTCAGTGAGGACTGGCAAACATATAATGTCATTCTCCTGCCATCAGGATCAGGACCGAGAACATTCCCACCACCTCAGGAAGTTCCCTGTGCTCCTTTGTTGTCAGCCCCACTCTTCCGAGCCTTTGGCAACCGCTGATCTCAGTCCTAGCCTTACAGGTTTTGCCTTTTCCAAAATGTGATACAATGGGAATCATAGTGTGTGTAGCCTTGAGAGTTACACTTCATTTATTTATTTTTTAGTGTTATACTTTAAATCAGCATCATGATAATATGTCCTTCATGTTGCTTGTCTCGGTAGTTCTCTTCTATTGCCTAGTTCTATTCCATTACATGGTTATATCACAGTTTATCCCTTCCCTAATTTTGGACATGTTTCCAGTTTTTAGCGATTATGACTAAAACTGCTATAACTATTGGTGTACAAGAACAAAGATTTTTAATTATCTAACAGCATGGATTTCCTCACAGCCTACCCTACATCCAAGTAAACTTAGGGCTGTGATTCAAAGACCGTTATGCTTCTGTTCTTTACCCAGATGAGGACAGAACACACCATGAATGCATTTTGCAAGATGCACCTGAACTTCTACTTCCTCTCTATTTCCCACCACGGGAAACCTGTGCCTGACATTTCCTGTTTTGAGATAACTTTTTTTTTTGTCTCCAAGTTATGTACTAGTCATTCATGCATACAGTGAGTGTTTTTAAATTCTTACCCCATTCAAAGCACTTGCACTTTGTTTTTTGTTTCTTTAATTTTTATAAAGCGTTTGGACTTTTAAAAAGCAAGGCAAGCAGATGCTTTAGCAGCATTCTAAGGGTTAGAATAAAAGCTGAGCATACCCTCAAAGAGGATATTTTGTTTCATTGCTCTCATATTAAGGCACCAGTGGAAAAGGTCCATATACAGTTGGACCCTTGAATAACATGTATTTGAACTGTGCAGGTCAACTTATACGTGGATTTCCCCTCCAATAAATACCTGTACTGTTTCTGTAGTTGGAAGTCCGTGGATGCTGAGGGAAGACTATATGCATTGATTGACCCCATTTTATGTAGAGGACTTGAGGTCCTGGAAATTAAGTCTGAATATTTGCTAACACCAAACCTTGCATTTCTGTAAGATGACATTTTGCTATTTAGATGGACTTTATTCCTCACCACTTAGTCTTTCCTGACACTGAAGCTTTGCCAGTTGCTGTTATTGCTTTTGCACTGTTGCTCATGTCCCCTCCAATTTGTCAGACCCAAATAAGCTATAAATGTACAAATTGCTTATCTGTGTTGTAGAAAACAATTTATGATTCTTCTCTGATCCCTAGAATTGGAGACTTAACTGTTCATTTTATTTAATATTTATACTAGAGGCCTGGAGCACAAGATTCGTATACTGGGGCAGGGGGGCCCTCAGCCTGGCCTGTGCCCTCTTGCAGTCTGGGACCCCTCGGCGGACAACCCTCTAGCAGCCTGGGACCCCTCACTCCTTCCTGCCTGCACCCACCTGCAGCAGAGGTGGGAGAGGCTCCTGCCACCACTGCCATTATATGCTTGCCAGTTGTGAGCTGGGCTCACTGCTCCTTAGTGCTGCCTTAGAGGTGGGAGAGGCTTCCACCATTGCTGCTGGGCTTGCCAACCAGCCCTCAGCCAGGCTTCTGGCTGAGTGGCGCTCCCCCTGTGGGAGTGCACTGCCCACCAGGGGCCAGCTCCTTTGTTGAGCATCATCCCCATGGTGGTTAGTGTGCATCATAGTGACTGGTCATTCTGCCATCCGATTATTTTGCATATCATGTTTTTATTATTCTACTAGAGGCTCGATGCACAAAATTTGTGCAAGGGGCTCAGCCCTTGCAACCATGGCAGCTGCCTCAGCCTTTGCAGCCCTAGCATCTTCTGGAAAGTTGTTTGGCTGTCTGGTCTAATTGGCATTATTATGCATTTATTATTATAGATATAATAAAAGCCTAATATGCTAAGTGTCCAGTTGTCCTGTCATCTGTTCAACCAATCAAAGCATAATATGCTAATGATATGCTAAGGCTGCTCAATCACTCGCTATGACGTGCACTGGGGTCAGATGCTCCGACTGGTAGGTTAGCTTGCTGCTGGGGTCCGACTGATTGGGACTGAGCGAGATGGGCTGGAAATGCTCTGGAGCCCTTCTGTAGCTCCCCTGTGTCCCTCCCCATCCCCGATCGTGCACTGGTGGGGTCCCTTGGCCTCGCCTGTGCCATCTCGCAATCTGGGACCCCACTGGTGCACAAGTTTGTGCACCAGGCCTCTAGTATAAGATAACTTTCTTTTCATTTTCTCTGTCACTAAAATAACCTCTTATGTTAGATTTATGGATGCCTTAACCTGTTTCTTCTCATAATAGTCTGTGTAGAATGACTTTTAGCATGATGCCTGCTTGGCATTCATAATTGTTAGGTGCCATGGCTTTTTAAAGTATTAACATCATTGTCCTTGGTTCTTATTCATCTTTGCCTTTATAGAATATTAATTTATTAATTAGCTTATTTTCTAGCCTCCCTCCCAAAGGCTAACTAGATGTTAGTACAATTGGGAACTGCAGGTAATTATTGTTTGAATTATATGTACTTTTATTACTTTTAAAATTTCAAAATATGACCACCTAAACATATTGCATGTGTAGGCAGTGTCAGAAGAAAGCTGAATTCTAGCCTAAGTGCTCTCGGGATAGATTGATTGATTTTGCCTAATTTTTAAAATGTGTTCCTCGGGTGTTTTTTTCTGAGCATCATGTTTTCCTTTCCATCTTTATTTACCTCTGAATATCTGGTAATCATTTTTATGTTTTCACTTATTATTCTTCTAGATGCTATTCTTATACTCCCTATGCTTACCTTCTCCACACAAAACCCGTGGTTAACAGTGTTTTTCTCATTATTAAATCTAATAGTCATCTAATTTATCTTTAAAAATTTTTTTCTCCTCGACTGTTCTCTGTTACCTTATCAACCCTCCTCTTTTTCCTCTTTATATGTGATCTATTTTTTTATTTTTTAAATTGATTTCAGAGAGGAAGGGAGTGGGAGAGAGATTGGAATATCAGTGATAAGAGAGAATCATTGATTGGCTGCCTCCTGCATGTCCCCTACTGGGGATTGAGCCTGCAACCCAGGCATGTGCCCTAGACTGGAATTGAACCCAGGACCCTTCAAGTCCGCAGGCCCGACACTCTCTCCACTGCGCCAAACCAGCTAGGGCTCTATGTGTGATCTTTCAAAGTTGTTCCAGTTTGTTCTTTTTTCTATTGTCCTAGATTTGAATGTAGTTTTATAAGTCAAAAGTAAGTTCTTTTTGCCCTCTTGGATCCATTTTATAAGGAAGAGGAGGCTTTACTTATAAGCATACTGAAGTTGCTTTTTGTTTGTGTGTGTGTGTGTGTGTGTGTGTGTGTGTGTGTGTGTGGAGAGAGAGAGAGAGAGAGAGAGAGAGAGAGAGAGAGAGAGAGAGAGAGAGTCACAGAGAGAGAGAAACCTGCTGACTGGAGATGTCTAATATAACCACATTTGGTGACTTCAGATAGAAAGGGTGTGGTGGTCATTAGGAGTACTGCTGCACGCTATTAAATTTTAGGTCAACACTTTTCCTTTTATTAAATTGAATGTATTTCTGGGTAATTTATAAATATAATGTGTTTTGATTTTACCTGAATATCTATCTCCCCTACTGCAATTTCTAAGAAACTAGTGACTGATCAGATAAATTTTTTTAAGGATTGGATAGAGTACACATTGCACAGAATCATGAAAATAAAGCAGAGAAAACATGGCTATTTCTTATAGGAAGTACTTTGCAAAAAAGGTTTTATAATTTATTAGTGGCCCAGTGCATGAATCCGTGCACATTGAAAGGAAATTAATGAGAAGAAATATTTTAATATTGCTGCTTGCCCTTTCTCTATAATAGAAGTGTCAACCAAATTCATGATTGACAACGACAAATGGAAACGTGTGCGGTTGGCACCAGCGAGAGCTTCATGTGTATCACTACACGTCGAGTCCTGCAGGGGCTGCTCCTTGGGTGGCAGTGGCTCCTCGAGCTGTGGTTGTCCTCAGGCAGTAGTGGCAGCGGCTCCTCTGGTGGGTGCTGTTTGCAGCAGTGGTGTCTCCTCCTGCTGATGGGGGAAGGCTGCTCGCACAGTGCTGCTCCTCGGAGGGTTCATGAGGCTGCTGCTCCTCTGATGGGAGTGGGCTGCTAGCGTGGTTGCTGCTCCTTGCACGGGGCGGATTGCTCATGTGGCTACTGCTCCTTGGATGGGGGCTGGATGCACGTGACTGCTGCTCCTCAGATGGGGCAAGCTGTTCGTGAGGCTGCTGCTTGTCAGATGGGTCTAGACTGCTTGCGTGGCTGCCGCTCCTTGGACATAGGCGGTCTGCTTGTGTGGCTGCTGCTGCTTGGACCCCGGTGGGCTGCCCAGGTGGCTGTTGCTCCTTGAATGGGGGCAGGCTGCTCTTGTGGCTGCTGCTTGGATGGAGGCAGGTTGCTCGTGCAGCTGCTGCTCCTCAGATGGGGGCGGGCTGCACAGGGCTGTTGCTCCTCAGTCATTGGGGGGCGGGAGGGGTGCTGCTCCTCGGACAGGAGCTGGTTGCTGTTCCTCAGACTGGGGAGCTCGCACAGATGTTGCTTCTTGGACAGGGGCAGGCCGTGTGAGGCTGCTGCTCTTCAGCCTTGGGCGGGCTGCTCGCAGGGCTGCTGCTCCTTGGACAGGAGCAGGCTGCTCATGTGTCTGCTGCTCGTGTGGTCTCAGTGCCCTGGGCAGCTGAGTCTCCTTCCCCAATTCGGAGTGGATGTGTTCATTTCAGCTGCTCATTCTGTCTGCTCCAGAACAAGGCTCAGGACATGTCCATCTGTTCTGCTGCCATTTTTTCATCTCCACATTTTGCACTTGAACCAAATGTCTGTGAAGCGTTTTCCTGTGCCTCATCTCATTTGATAATCACAGAAGTCCTGGAGCAGGTAGATAGGAGACTTGGTGAAATCCTACTTTTTTTTCATTAGCCGGAAAACGGAGATTTTGAAAACTTAGAAACTTTACCTGACTGAAAAGAAGTAAGAAATGGTGCACCTTGAGAATCACTTCAGGTTTTCTCACTGGGCAAAATATAGTCAAACACTGCTGCAGTTAAATATTTTACCCTTTGTTCTCCCTGTGTGATCTACAATAATAATCTGCTTTGTGTTGATATTTACTGCTGTGTTGCTGACAATTACCTGAAAGAGAAGTTGGAGTGCCTCACTGGGCTGGAAAACTTAACTAAATCAGGAAGCAAGTCTAATTAATCAAGTTTGCTCTACATATATAAAGGCTAAACTGACTCGCACTTGTGCAATACACATAAAGCTCTTGCTGGCGCCAATCGGACACATGTGTTTCGATCTTTCATTGTCGATTGTGAATTTGGTTGACATTTCTATTATAGAAAAAGGACAATAGTGATAGTAAATATTTCTTCTAATTAATTTCCTTTCAATGTGCACAAATTCGTGCACTGGGCCACTCGTATGAGAATAATGCCTTGTGCTAAGACATTAGGATATCTATGTGTCACTAGGTGATAGGAATTGTTCAGCTTTAGTCTTGAGGGAACCACCATAATACAAGTAGTTCAACATTGAGTGAGATGTTATGCTGTTCATGATTATAACTTGAAAAGTTGAAGACTAGTTTGGCTTTTTCCCCCTATAAGTTTTTTCTCCTCAGTTTTACTTTTCCTCTTCACAATAGCTGCGGGGAAGTCAACATTTGTGAATATCCTTAAACAAGTCTGTGAGGATTGGGAAGTGGTTCCTGAACCAGTTGCCAGATGGTGCAATGTTCAAAGTACTCAAGATGAATTTCAGGTATGAAAATAAAATTTAAAATGAAAACGTTTTGGCTTAGAGAAGCAGTAGTATTTAATCTCTTGGGTGTTTGCTTGTTTTTCCTTTTTCCAGTAAAACTTTGAAACCTAGCTTTAATTCTTTATGTTCATCCTGATGAACAATATTAACTGGTGAATATAATAGTATCAGAGGTATGGACTGATGATTCTCGGGGAAAAGGGGAGGGGTTGCTGGAAGAGACTGAACATAAACTGTGCACCTATGGATGAGGACAATGGCGGGTGGGGAAAGGGCAGAGGGTGGGGTGGGAACCTGGTGGAGGGGAAAAAAAAATGAACTTTTGTAATAATATGAACAATAAAGATTTATTTAAAAAAATAAGTAAAATAAAAAGAAATTCTTCATTTTCATCTAGATAGTAGTACAAGGATGTTTATCTATGTAAACACTGGAGTATATGCACCTCTTGTGAAAAAGATCTAAGGAATTGGTAGTTAAGCTAGCTTTTCAAATTCTTCCCAGCTTCAGGTAACCTAAAAATACAGTGGAAAAGAGAAGAAAAAAGAAGAATTGCTCATTTTGGTTTTGCTAATCATGATGCATTTATTTATCCAACTTCTCTTTATGAGCTTTTAAAAAAATTAAGAGTCCTATTGATCATTAACTTTGCTTTTTGTTTCTTTTCTTCCTTCCTTCCTCCCTCCCTCCCTCCCACCCTCCCTTCCTCCCTCCTTCCCTTCTTTCCTTCCTCCCTCCTTCTCTCCTTTCCCTTCCCTTCCTTTCCTTCCCCCCCCCCCCTTTTTTTTTTTTTTTTCAAATTTGAAGCAAGAACTGACCACATCTCAGAAAAGTGGTGGGAATGTTCTTCAGATGATGTATGAGAAACCTGAGCGATGGTCTTTTACCTTCCAGTCATATGCCTGCCTCAGTCGCATACGAGCTCAGCTTGCCTCTCTCAATGGCAAGCTCAAAGATGCGGAGAAACCTGTATTATTTTTTGAACGATCTGTGTATAGTGACAGGTATATATAAATTACTTTTGTACTTATTACGTTGGGTCCTTGGCTTAGTTTTTTCTTCTTCTTTTTTTTTCTGTTTCCTTGGAATCAAAGTAATAAGAGAGGTTGAGTTGGGGATTTGATATGGAGAATGACATTTAATACTTTTAACAGTTTGAAACTAATGGCATTAGGGAAGTTATAGTATTTGCTAGGAGCCCGATGCATGAAATTCATAATAGAGAAGGCCTTCCTTCCCTCCGCTGCCAGCACCAGCTTTCCTCCGGCACCCGGGACCTGGGCTTCCCTTGCAGCTCTGGCTTCGTCTGGAAGGTCATCCTGAAGGATGTCCAGTCTAATTAGTATATTACACTTTTATTATTATAGATGATTTCTACATTCCATGGGAATTATTGGGAATATGAGGCCATATCATTCAAATTTGTAGAGAAATTTAAAAAATTCTCATCTGCTCTGGTTAAATCTGAATCTATATTCTAGACTCACCTGGAGCAAGAATATGAAAAATCTTTAAGGGGGCCTTGGAATTACCCTGTGTATGCAAGGATTCTTTTAATCTCTAGAGTTAGCTCAGAACAGGGGTTCTCAAACTTTTGTTCTTAGGACCCCTTTTCATTCTTAATAATTATTGAGTAGTTCTTTGTGTCTTATTCATATTTCTGTTATTAGAAATTAAGATTGAGAAGTGGAAAAATTTATTTAAACTTAGCTATAATAAACCCATTATATATAAACATAAATAACATCTAGTGAAAATTACATTTTTTCAAAGCAAAAAGAAATAGTGAGAAGAGCAGCATTTTACATTTCTGTGAATCTCTTTAATTCCTGATTTAAATGAGCTGGGTTCTCATTTATGGCTCTGTGTTCACTCTGTTAAACATATTGTTTTGGTTGAAGTATAAAGTTCTCTGGCCTCTCAGACAAAACCTCTGGAAAGGTCTTGGTGTGTATCAGGGGTCCTCACACCACATTTCTGAGAACCACTGGGCAATACATAATTTTATGTAGTTGGTGATACTCTATTGTTTTTTTTGTTTGTTTGTTTTTGTTATCCGAAGCATTATCTGCCACAGGTTTTAGGAGAAGGTTCCATGTCCATTTGATAGATCCATTTTCTCTTCTCTATTTCTCTGTGCTTTTTGGAAAGGATTTATGTATAGACTCTCTTTCAGGTATATTTTTGCATCTAACTTGTATGAATCTGAATGTATGAATGAAACAGAGTGGACAATTTATCAGGACTGGCATGACTGGATGAATAACCAATTTGGCCAAAGCCTTGAACTGGATGGAATCATTTATCTTCGAGCTAGTCCAGAGGTGAGACTTAAACATTTGCTTGTTCCTTTGAAAATTTAAAGTAATATTTAGAAAATTTTCAGTGTTATGCAGTGAAGGCAAAATAGTAAACTTCACTCCCCACCCTCTCCTACCTCCAAATGAGAAATTGAGAACTGTGTAGATAGAAGATTTTATTTTCTCAGCAAACTAGGAACCCAGAGTTGGCAGGTTGCTCTTTTAGGTCCTTATTTGTTCTACCTCAATTCTATTCTTCATAATTTCTTAACTTTTGCAGAGTCGCTTATCACAGTTAGATTAAGAAACTTGCTTAAGCAACTTCTAGAATATGGACCTCATGAGTTGGGACTTTGGATATTTTAATTACTGTTGAATTTTCAGTGCCTAGAAGAAGGCTTGGATACATAGTAGGAGCTCAGTAAATATTTGCTAAATGAATGGCAAACTTGATGGAGGAAATATTTCATGGTTTTGCTTTGGAATGGTTGGGTAGTAGCAGCTATAGTTGAGAAGAGACTTAATGGATCCTTGCCATTTTTAGTTAAGGGAGTTTACTTGAAATTGTGCCTTTCATCATAGATTGCAATATAGGTATTGTTTACATATGAAATTATAGAAAGACCAAGTGGATGCCTTTCATAAAACTAACCTAAATGAGAACTTAAATTTATTAAATTTCTGGTTTTGGTGCTTGCATTCCCATTTTTCTTTGATTTTTATTTCTACTTCTTACTTGAGTCACAAAGTAAGTTCTGATAATGTAAATGTTACAACTCCTAGCTTGAAAGAATACTGTGTTATATTGAGGCTCAATTTTCAAAGGAACTATGTTTCTGATTCCAAGTGATGATTTTGTTCTTCTAATATCAAGTAAACCAGAATTTAACAATAGTAACTTTAAAATTCACTTTTATTTCTGAAAATAATTTTTAATTATGAAAATAATAAATGCAAATAAGAAGAAATAATAATTTAATTGTTAGAAACAAAATCTTAAAGTCTAATATAAATGTATTATTTCATTAATATTGTTTATGATATCCTTTGATTAAATTCTCATTTAATTATTTGAAAAGAGAGTTTATAATAGAATTAGAAGCACAGTTTTATTCTGCTTTTTTTTCTTTTTACCAAGCTTACTTTAGACAATACATTTCAAATGTAGATGCCAAAAATTTATAGACTTATTTTGTAAGTACTACTAGTATTTGGTTTAGAGCCACCAAATTGTTGAAAACTATAGGGAGGGAAAAAGGAACTATTGTTCTTAGAAAGAATAGAGATTTTGGTTAGCATGACTAAAAGGACACTAAAGAAGAAAAATTTAATGGTATCAGACAAGAATAATTGTTCCCCCCGCTCTCTCTTCTTTTTAAAATTATTTTTGATTTCAGAGAGGAAGGGAGAGGGAAAGAGATTGAAACATCAATGATGAGAAACATCAATGTTCGGCTGCCTCCTGCATGCTCCCAACTGGGGATTGAGCCTGCAACCCAGGCATGTGCCCTTAACTGGAATCAAACTCGGGACCCATCAGTCCCCAGGCCAACGCTCTGCCCACCAGCCAAACCAGCCAGGGCTACCCTCTCTTCTTATTCTTGCTTTTAGAAATGCTTGAATAGAATACATTTACGGGGAAGAAATGAAGAACAAGGCATTCCTCTTGAATATTTAGAGAAGCTTCACTATAAGCATGAAAGCTGGCTCCTGCACAGAACACTGAAGTAAGACTTCCTTCTTATTTACTACTCATTTTTAATACTTCTGTCAAATTTTAATTAAAAATGTACAATATGTCCAATTTTATTTTTAAATTAGGTGTGGATTTTTATTCTTTTTATTTCAATGAGATTCATTTTCTTAAAGTTTTTATAGCTAATTTCCCCCTGTGGTACTGACAGCATAATATAAGGAATTTCACATTAAGTGATAAAATAGAAAATATATCTGTGTATATTATTTAGGTACTCTCAGAGACTATTTTAAGATAAGATATTTCAAATTTGTTTCTTAGATCAAGATTTGGGAGGTAGTATAACATAATTTTTGAGTATGGACTTTGCCACTAGTCAGTTTTTGGTTCAAACCAGCTCCACTAACTAGTGTATGACCTTGGATAATCTCTGAGTTTCAGAGTGGTCTCCTTGAACTTTAGTTTTATCATCTTTAAAATGCAGATATTCCTCCTACTATACAATATGTTTTTTGTTTTTGAGGACTATTACATGTCACAATGCCTAGCTTTATATATTATACCTGAGATTTTTAGATACATATGTGTAAATCTAGGTGAGAAAGAAGGGGCTGTCAGATGAAGTACTTACAAAATAACTTTAATAGAAAAATGACTGCCATTTTGATTTGTCTGAGTTATAATAATGAGTTTTTAGTTTTTCTCTTATTTATTGCTTTGTTTTGTTTATCACTCTTTAAATAGAACCAACTTTGATTATCTAGAAGAAGTGCCTATCTTAACATTGGATGTTAATGAAGACTTTAAAGACAAACATGACAGTCTGATTGAAAAGGTAGATTTATACAAAGAATATAAACTAATATTTGCTTGGTCTTGTCTAAAAGGTATCCTAATTTGTGAGAAAATTTTCTAACAGAACTGATTACATAGTTACATTAAGAGGCAATTAAAAGCTTTAGGGGGATTTAGACTATTTATATTGTAATCCTAACTTGAAATTCTAGCTTTGTGGCCTTACCTAAAATAAGGAGCTTTTTAATCTTTTAGTTCCTTTACGTGAGATACAGGAATAATCACAAAAGTTCTTGCTTGCTTCTCTCCTTTTTCTCCTTTCCCTATACCACTTAATCTTTAGACATTTTAATAATTAACTATTTGTTTTTTTTTTTTTTCAACTAAATTCAATATGGAGAATATTTGAAATTGTAAGATATAGATCTTAGCCATTTTTATATTAGTCTTGAGATTAAAGGAGTTTTGAAATTTATTTGGATTGAGGATCTAGCCTACAGCATAGGCATAGGCCCTGACCTGGAATTGAACTATAACCTCTCCTGGTTCATAGTTCGCTGCTCAACCACTGAGCCATGCCAGCCAGGCTATTTGGGACCTTGTCAATGATGAATTGTCATTGTCTAATCATTGAGTCATTGTCTTAATCAGAGTTAATTTATCCCCCAGATGTTTGGTATATTCTATTAAGTGAGTGGTACCTTTGTTGATAAAGGTACCGGGAGAGAACTTTTTGATGAATGCTTGAGAGAGAATAGTATGAGAATTACATAACAAATATCTTTGTACTTGTGTTAATTAAATTAGTGATCTAAGGTCTAAAGAAGCCACACTTTTGTTTGTTTTGTTTTGAGATAAATTTGATATTTTTTTTCTCCTGTCACAAAATGTTTGCTATTCCCTAATAGGTACTTGACATTCATTAAGGAATATATCTCAAGAATTTTTAAAACCTCAACATTTATAGATAACTACTATTGCAGATAGTTGTTTTTTCCATCATATAAATTAAAGCATATCTGGACAATACAAGTGACTTCTTTCTTATTATAAATGATATTTTAAAATATAGGGTGGAATTCACTTAAATGATAACTATTACAATAAATTAAGTTAGCCATTGAAACACTAACAACCAACCATCATTTTAACTGAACGAATTTGTAAATCCACTTTAAAAAAATTTATTGTAACATTTCTGTGAAGAATGACTAGAAATCATCATTTTTATTATTTGTTTTTTTATTAATAATATTAGCAGTTGGTTTTCTTTTTGAAATATTTTGACATGGCAATAATTGTTGTTTGTTCAGGAGAATTACTGTATAGTCTAGAATATGAAGAGAACAAAATCTTGTTACTGTGATGTTAGTTAATTGGCTAGATTCAGTCACTGCTTATATTGCCTTTCCTCAGGCATTAACATTACAGAGTATATACTAGATTCAAATTTGAGCTTCAGAGAAATTATAGAAAATTAACTGGGGGGTGGGGAGGGAAACATTGCAAAAAAAGAAAAATTACAGATCTGTTACATGTCTGAACCTTCAGAATTGTTTAAACCATTACAGTTATTAATGTTATCAATACTAAAGCTGTACATGTCAGGGTCTGAGGTATTATAAAGAGATAAAATTATGATTATAAAATGAAACATTATAAAACTAGAGACTTTGGCTGTTATAGAATTATATCAATCTTAGGCTAAATTTAATAACTCCTTTAATTACATTTTATATCATTTAGCTTTTACTACTAAAGTATTTATTAATATAGCTTTTAAAGTAAATGCTATGGCTTTGTGATAGAATTATTTATATAGGTGGGTCCTCAATTGTTATATACTTTTAAATGAAGATGAATATTAGATATCTCAAATTAGTCAAATAACTATATTAATATGTTTTTCCTCTTCTCAGGTCAAAGAATTTTTGAGCACTTTGTGATCTTGCTGAAGATTTCAGGGAGCAAAATGATTCCAGACACTTAAGCTTTGTGTATCTTCGTAGCTTTGTATTTATACAAGTCTCTTTAGAAAACCCAAGTTTTTAACCATTTTTGTTGCCAAGAAAAAATAATTTTTTTATGAGTCCTATATGAAAGTTTATGACCAGCGCTTCTCCCTTTCCTCCCTCATTCTCTTCTTCCCTCTTTCCCTCTCTCTCTCCCCCTTCCTTCCTTTGTATAAAAACCAGACATTTAATGATCTCTCATAGCAAGAAGTCTTGAGGTAGATGGTTCCAGAATCACTATAGTGGCTAAAGGTCCTCTATCACAAAGGACCCACCCTCCTCTGTCTTTCCCGTTATCCTCCTCAGCAGGTTGGCTTTTTTTCTGGTGCTTCTCATCTCATTGTTGACTAGTTTCTTAACTGGATTTCTTAATTGGAAACTTCATAGAAAATGGTAATCTGTCCTGTGTAAACTAGCACAAAAAGTTGGAAGTGGAATTTAAAGAATCCCTAGAAAAAGAATTATTTTATTTTAAGTACTTTGATCCATTGCCTTCCCTTCTACCTCAATTTATGTGGAAGATAAGATCAGACGTAATATTTAATCAATTCATTGATATTTATTAGTGTGTCTATAATACATTCGTAGAGGAGCAAGTTAGACTATGTTCCTAGTTTGTAATGGCATATATCTATACTATGGATGAGGCTTCATCTTTTTGCATGGAATTTTGGATAATTAAAGAAGAAATATTTCTTAAAATAGAGCTTTAAGCGCCCTACCTGGTTTGGCTCAGTGGATAGAGTAGCCTGCAGACTGAAGGATCCCAGGTTTGATTCCGATCAAGGGCACATACCTAGCTTGGAGGCTCGATCCCCAGTAGGGGGCGTGCAGGAGGCAGCTGATCAATGATTTTCTGTCATCATTGATGTTTCTCTCCCTCTCTCTCTCTCTCTCTCTCTCTCTCTCTCTCTCTCTCTCTTTCTTTCTTTTCCTCTCTGAAATCAATAAAAATATATTTAAAAAATCATAATAACTTATAAGTGAAGGTCCGGTGAGGTGGAGTTGATTGAATGATATCCTGTGCCAGTTCAATTCCTGGTTAGGGCACATGCCTAGATTGTGGGTTCAGTCCCCAGTTGGGACACATGCAGAGGGAAACCAATTTATGTTTCTCTCCTTTCCTCTCTCTAAGCATGTCCTCAGGTAAGATTTAAAAAAAATAATAATAACGTACTGAAGGTTATTACATGAGTAAATGATTTTCAGACCATTCTTTTACAATGGAATATTACTATTATAGTTAAAAGATAGTAATGATTGTCTTTAAATCATTTGAGGTAGAAGTATACGTTTCTTCTCTTTTAAAAAAAAAAAAATATATTTTTTTACTGATTTTAGGAAGAGAGGAAGGGAGAGGGAGAAAGAGAAACATAGATGTGTGTGAGAGAAACATCAATCGCTGCCTTCTGCACAATCCCTACAGGGGATCAAGCTAGCAACCTGGGCATGTGCCCTGACCAGGAATTGAACTAGAGACCTTTCCATGCATGGGATGATGTTCCACTCACTGAGTCACGCCAGCCAGAGCTCTTCTCATTCTATATGTAAAACAATGGGACATAGTGAGAAGCACATTTTTCCATTTTATCCCTTATTGACTGCACTGGGAACGAGCAGTCTTTTATTACCTTTATATAGTTTGTAAGAAGTCAGAAGAAAAACTGAAGACAGGTAGAGAATCTTGGGAGTGTAGTCTATTTAGCCCCACCTGTTATTTCCCGCCTCATCCTGGTTTGCTCCTGTCAGAATTAATTAGGCAGCCTGCTATTGTAAATACACATTCTGCTTTGAGAACATTATGATTATCCTTTGCTTCATGGTTGGCTTTGCTTCTCTGTCCCCCCTCTCCCTTTTTAAGGGAAATTACTGATAATAAATGATTTTGCTTTGCTTTATTTGTTACATATCTTGAAAGCATTATTATTTCTTTTGAATATATATTGGAAAATATATTAATAAAGAAGAAAAAGGGTAAAATAGGTGTAATTTAAAAAAATCTCATCGGATCCATTTTTATTTTGTATATAATTAAAGATTTTTTCACGTTTGTTTAGTTAAATGTGAGGTGTTTTTTCTATGTATGTACCCTTTCTACTTGCCATTTTAAAAAAATTTTGTTTTTGAAGTGGTGGTGGGGAAGAGACTTTTTATTTTGAAATTATTTTCCTTTTCAAAATGTCTTGTTTTGTTTCTTGAGATAATTTAGTGGGTTAAACATTCTAGATGTCCTGATCTTTGAAAGGGAAACTGCATTTTAAATTTATAATAAACCTGGCCGGTGTGACTCAGTGGTTGAGCATCAGCCTATGAACAAGGAGTTCACAGTTTGATTCTCAGTCAGGCACATCCCCGGGTTGTGAGCTCGATCCCCAGTAGGGGGTGTGCAGAAGGCAGCCGATAGATGATTCTTTCTCATTGATGTTTCTATCCATCTCTTCCTCTCCCTTCTTCTCTGAAATCAATTTAAAAAATTAAAAAAAAATATAATCACCATGAGTATTTAAACTATTTCATGATGTATGTGTGTGTTTTTTATTTGATATACATCAGTTTGTTTACTAAATTAAACATTTGCTTAATAAATAAGTATAAATTTCATGACCTGTAATGGAGCTACACTCATTGAATTAAAGTTTTATTTTACTTTGGGAATATAGCCTAAGAAACCCCAAAACACCAATCAGAAAAAATGTATGCACCTCTATGTTCATAGCAGTACAATTTACAATAGCTAAGGTCTAGAAACAGCCCAAGTGCACATCAGTAGATGAATGAATAAAAAAGCTGTGGTACATTTGTGCTATGGAATACTATGCAGCAATAAAAAAGAAGACTGTCTTGCCCTTTGAGATAGCATGGAGAAACCTGGAGAATATCATACTAAGTGAAATAAGTCAGAGAAAGACAAGTATCCCATAATCTCACTCATATTTGGAATCTAACAAACTGATGAATGGAGTGGATCCAGAGACATGAAAGTATGGAACAGAGTGCAGAATCTAGGGGGAAGATAGGTGGGATGTAATCAAAGACCTTGTATGCATATATACATAACCACAGACAATAGGTGCTGAAGGCCTGGGACGGGGGTGGGTGTTGCAGAGGTGGGCTGGGGGGGGGGGGGTCAGTGGTGGAAAAATGGGGACATGTAATACTTTCAACAATAAAGATTAAAATTTATTCTACTTCGAAAAAAAAAAAACATGACTTTAAAAAGGTAACAATGATTTATATAAATTATATTGATTCTATTTTAAGCACAGAGTTCAGAGATTTTCAGTAACCTTTAAAAGGGATGGCTTTAAATCTGTAGAATTGAAAAGCTAAATTTATTATTTGTCATGACTCAAAATAAAAACTGTACCATTGGATAAGCACAAGAGTATTGAGCTTGAGCTTAGTGGACTGCATTCTCTTGGTTTGTTTTTCCCATATCAGATCATCAAAATATATATAATACTTCTTATAGTTTGCTCTTCTAGAAAATTGTACTGTTCCCTCATTCAGAATTTCTCATTTTTTATGCCTAAAACTGTATACCGAGCTTATAGAAATTAGGTCTGTCATATTTTTTAGAACAAGGAGTACCAAAATGTTTTTTTACATAGAGAAGAAAATCTTACTACCACACACACACACACAAAAGCTAGGTTAGTTGCTTAAGGTACTTATAAATCGATAAATAGTAGCCTTCCACATTTTGACACATCTTATCTTTCCTCAAGACATTAAAAAAATTTTTTTTGAAGTAGTTTTTGATTCCCAAAATGTTAAAGTATCGGAGTTCTATCATTGGTTTTCCCCAAATGATAACATTTTACATAACCATAGTAAAATTAGTCTTAGTATCAAGACTAGGAAATTTACTTTGGTATACTTTTATATAAAAATGCAGGCCTTATTTGGATTTCACCAGTCTTATCTCTTTAAAAATAGAATAGACTTTAGACTCATTGACAATATATTTTTTGTTCCATTTTTATTATTTATTGCAGTTCTAAGTTGATAGCAAAATTAAATAGAAATTTCAATTTCTATACAGTCTCTACCCCTGAACTTGTACAACATCCCCACCAGGTGGTACACTTGTTACATTCAATGAACCTACATTGATAAATTATTATCACTCAAAGTCCATAATGTACATTATATTCAGTGTTGTACATTCTGTGGGTTTTGACAAATAATGACATGTATTCATCTCACAAAAATAGTTTCATTGCCCTAAAAATCCTCAGTGTTTTGTTCATTCCCCTTACCCCAATCTCAGGCAACCACTGGCTTTTAATTGTCTCCATAGTTGCCTTTTCCAGAGGGTTATATATTTAGATCATTTAGTATGTAAACTCTTCAGATAGGTATTTGCATTTAGTTTCCTCCCTGTCTTTTCATAGGTTGACAGCTTATTTCGTTTAAGTGCTGAATAACAGTCCATTGTCTGAACACACCCAGTTTATCTAACTCAGTTACCGATGGGCAAGTTAGTTGCTTCCCAGTTTTGGCAATTATGAATAAAGCTACTTTAAACACATTCGTGTGCAAGTTTTTCTATGATCATAAGTTTTCAATTCATTTGGGTAAATACCAAGTAGTGCAATTGCTGGATTATATGTTGAGCATGTTTAAGTTTCTTAAACACGTGTCTTCCAAAATAGTTGTACCATGTTGCCTTCCTACCAGCAATAAGTGAGTTCCTGCTCCTCCACTCTTGGTGGTGTCAGTAAGAATGGATTTGCTACATTCTTAATAGGTACCAGTATGTGGTTGTACCTCATTTTAATTTGCAATTCCCTAATGACATATAATAATCATAATTTAAATGCTTACTTGCCATCTGAATATCTTTGGTGAGTTGCCTGAAGGTCCATTGTCATTTTAAAATTGACTTCATTTTCTTATTATTGAGTTTTAAAAATTCTTTGAATATTTTA